GGGCCGGGGAGGGGGGGGGGGGTTGAACCAATGCTATATTGCAAAAAGAAGAAAGTGGAAACTAATTTACAAAATTTCGAGGACGGAATAATGATTTATTAATAAATGAAGGTCCTTTTTTGCAAATCTAACGAAAATTAGATAAAATGGAGAAATTGAAGACAATGAAGCACCGAGAGAGAGTACAGGACGACGAAGTAGAAGGAAACAGAGACATTGGAGAGAGAAACCCTTAGTAAATTTTGTCTCCTCTCTATATAATTCTTGTAATAACCAGAAACACTATTCAAACCCACCTTCACGTACACGTCTTCTGATCGTAAACTTTCAATTACTATATAATAAACCAATTGTACCATTTCCATGTTCTTTCACTGTTAATCGAATAATCAATCATAACCCTTTCTGCCCTGATCCGTCGGATTCCCAATTGCCCGTTAATTTTGTCCAGATCTGCTGCAAATCGAAACCATTGATTCAAAATGGATGACCTGGATGTGCTGGCACGGGATTTTGGGTTCCGACCACAAGGAAAATCGAATCCGATGAGATCCGACCAGGCGGATCACCGCCCCTTCCGATCTGTTGACGATCAGAATCGTGATGGGTTGTTGTTCAACGATGTATTTGGTGGGCCGCCTAAGTATACTTCGAGTTCGAGTTCTAATAACAATAGTAATAACAATCCGTCGTCCATGAGTGATTTTGACTATGAATCCATTTTTAAGTCGGAATCGAAAGTTTCAAACAGTAATACTGGCGGTAATAAGACGTCGACCTTGCCAGTGTATGATAAGCCCGTTTATGATGATGATATATTCGATGGTTTGCCCGGGTTGAAGAACAAATTGGGTACTTCCTCGGTCAGATTTGAGGATGATATATTTGCGTCAATTGCATCGCCGTCCACAAAGAGCAAGAATCAGAACGATTTTGATGATTTGTTGGGGAACTTGGGTGGAAATGACAAGTTTGGGGAGAACAACAACAGCAAGAGCAGTAGTGCTAAGAGCAGCTCTACATCGCGAGGGTTAGATGATCTGTTAGCTGGGTTTGGGGGTGGAATTCCTGCCAGTAGCAACAGGTACTTTTGTTAATTGGTTAGATTATTATGTTGAACTTCTAGTTTAGAGCTGTAATAACTGATTTTCTTTAACTGCTCAGTTCTATGTATTTACTCTTGCTTTGGAGTAATTTTATAGCTTGCATTTATTTGGAACTCTGGGCATGCTCATCATAACATAAGTTACAGTTAGATGTGAAGAGGCTCTCCGAGAAGATATGGTGGAAGAAGATGAGCAGAAGGAAGTAATGTGTATAATGACAGTGAAAATTATGTCTATAGGCAAAATTTTTACATTTTACTGTCATTTTTCCTGAGCCTAGATATCCAATGACTTGTTGCCTGTGAATGATAACAAACACATTGATCTTGCCATTATCATGCGCATGTTAAGTATATGGTGTTTTGAACCTTGCTACTTTTAGAAGTACTTGACCAATATCCAGATATATATTAACAATTTTATGGTATTTTTGCAGATGGTATATGTCTTGCTTACTACAAGTTTTCAGACATCCTATTGATTCTTGCTTTTTATTTTTGATTAATGAAAATTCAAGCATACTGATCAAGATTCACCTACTTGTTTATTTAAATTTCCATCATGAAGTTTCCAAATTCCACAGAAGTTAAATACAATTGAAAGACCTTTTGAAGTAAGTTCTCAAACATCTGAAAGAGCTTGGTTGATAATGAAAGTGTGAACCATCTTGGTAAACAACTTCACCACTTCTCCACCCTGATGATTGACACCTCTATTACCAACCATATGAGCCTAGCACAGGGTTTTCAGTTTGAAATGGCTCGTTCAACGAATATTTAAAGAAACTATTAAGTAACCTTTATCAAGAATTAATTTGTTTATCTTCGTGGATCAACATAAAAGGGCTCAGTTGGCAAAGAGAATAGGTGTTTGAGATTTTGATGGACAATAAATATCTAGAAGAGGGATTATTTATTGATTTCTAAACCTTGTACCAATGGAATCTCATTGGTTACCTAATGTTTATTTTGAGCTCTGGATGATCCACCATACTAGTTGACTAGTTGTTACTTTGAGAAACTCGGAAACGTGAATTAATTGATGGGGTTTCTGGTAGTGGTTGTGGCCTTTGTGAGTGCAGGAGAGAGTTATGGATTTATGTGTCCAAGGAGTAAGTAAATGAATTTGCCCTTAAGGGCATAATTGTTCTTTACTAAAAATTGCTCTGGCAGATTACTTTCTGCTCTGCTATATCACCAGCCTAGTTTAGCAAAAGGCTGTATGTTAATAATTAGAAGATCTATGTAGTAATAATCATTTTGGTTGCACTTTCAGGTTCCTTTTTGTTTGGTACATTAGTTGATTTAATCGTATGATGTTTATTTGTAGTGTGATGAGATGTCTTTATTGCAAAAAAAGCTAATAGTTGTCAGATTACAGGTGACAAATTTAAATGGCTATTGATTCTCTTTGTGTAATGGTTATGCACTCCAATAATTAGTAATTTAAGTACAACTTCCTGTGAAAGTGATTTTCAATTAACACTTGTTCTAATAATGATTTATCACTGTTAGTCTGTTGATTCATCTGCTTATTTATGTGTTATAATCTTTCACTTAATACGCCTACAGATACTATTCTATTTTGGGATGAGAAAGTGCTAACTAGAGTTCGAAGTGTTATAAATTGTATATATTGCTAGTGATTACAGTTTTGTTTTTGAAAGCCTATAAATTACAAGAATCAGTCAACATTTCATATCGGTTGGTTTCCACTATCTGTTTACCACTCTACACGATCACAATCAATCCCAGTATAGCAATTTAGATCAGTTTAAGGTCATACACTCAGATTTTGAGGTTCATCTTTTGAATTAAAATACTATTTTTTTTTCTCGCTGCAGTTGTGCTATACTTTTCGGCTCGACATCACTTCATCATTTCACTCATTGGTTACTAATGACATTTTTTGTGTTAACTCTTTGTTTATATCCTTTCTCTCCAAATTAAAGTGGCTTCTAAAATGGACTTGCAGTTCTTACAAAACCTTTGAGACTGAAGTTTTTAGAAAGAATGATGGTTTAAGATGATTGAAGTATTAAATGCTATTTTGATGCATAATGGTTGTGATGTTCTGCCATTTTTGTCCTATCTTCTTGGTTGCAATTTATGTAAACTGAGTGTTTGATTGTTTTGTGTTTGTTTTCTTTCTCCCCTTAATCTGAGTTATCAAAAGAAAAGGAAGGATAATTAGCTCAGTGTCCATTCTTTTTTCGCACAGACCAATATCAGAGTCAAGTCGAGGCTACATACAAACCGACAACACAACTTCAAATGTGATGGAAGACCCTTTTGTAGTTATGGAATCAACATCAACCCCAGGATCATCGTCAGGGGTGTCTACTGATCCTCTGGAGGAAATTGGTAAGCTTGGTAAATCGAGAAGTGCTAGGGCTGAGGCATCCTCTGTTAGCGATGGAGTATTTGATGACTTAGATCCTCTTAACGGATTTGGAAAACCTGTCCATCCATTTTATCCTGGGAGGGATAATGGAGGTAAGGATGGGAGCCCGTCAAGATCAGGAACATCTGTATCTTCTGGTGTTAGAGAGCAGACAGGAAAATCTGACAGATATTCGGGGAGCAATGTGGAGAAGAAGGTTCCTTTTGATAATTTTCAGGAACCTCCCTTGTTTGATG